CTAGCAGGACTGGCCTAAGGGGTAATTTTTAGCTGGGTTTTAAAATAATTTTTAAAATAACAAAGGCCAAATTAATATTTCCTTTTAATTATGTTTTTAATGATAGTATTTTTTGTATTTTTGTATTTGTTTTTATTAGGCTGTTAGCCGCCCTGAGTCCGCAAGGAGAAGGGCGGGGTAAAAATACAATAAATAATAAAATAATAATAATAATATGTCTAAGATTCTTTAATTGCTGATCATGTTATAGATGTCAGATTGTTTGAGCCATAGTTATTCTATTAACATTCTTTTTATCATCTTGAATTCATATAATTCTGTTGATACCTATGTAGTATATAAATATCTGTAGTAGAAAGCAAATTCAAACTGTTCTTATATTTTACAGGCTTCAGACAACGAAATAGTTTGGGTCATGCGAATTACCATTTTTGTGTTTGGAGCTGCAGCAACAGTGATGGCTCTGCTAGCTCAATCCATATATGGTCTCTGGTACCTCAGCTCTGACTTGGTTTACATCATCATCTTCCCCCAACTTTTATGTGTTCTTTTTATCAAAGGAACAAATACTTATGGTGCCATTGTAGGATATTTATTTGGGCTCCTACTTCGAATTACTGGAGGAGAACCTTATCTATCCTTACAGCCTTTGATTTTGTATCCTGGTTGGTATCATGATGATGATGGATATGTTCAGAGATTTCCTTTTAAGACATTAGCAATGCTTACTTCCTTCCTTACAAACATTGCAGTGTCCTATCTAGCAAAATACTTATTTGAAAGTGGCACTTTACCACCCAAACTAGACTTCCTTGATGCTGTTGTTGCAAAGTACAGTAAAGAGAACATGGACAAGGCTACTCTTGTGAAAAGTGACAATATTGTTTTAAATGAACTGGCACCAGTGAACCCTCGACACAGTTTGACTCTGAGCTCTACTTTTACAAATAAAGAGGCCTTCAGCGATATGGATTCAAGTCCAGAGGTATCCTCTGCAGAGGAGAAATGACAACAACCCAGATGAAGAGAAATACTGCTTTTGCCTCACCCATAGCGCAACAGGGTACGTTGCCATGGGAAATTAAATGTAGCTTGGGAAGAAATGGATGGAGAGAAAAAAAAACCCACTACCATGCAGCTCTTTTAGTTTGTTTCTTGAAAGAGGAATAGTTTGGATTAAACTCTCATACAGTATTATCAAAACATGTTGGGTAAAATTATAGTATATCTCATTCCACCATAGTATTTGAATGTCAAAAAGAGAAAATGCAACATCCAGAAAAAAAGACATTGGTTTCTTTAAAATTTATATCACTAATTTGCATAGCTAGAACTAATTTGCAAATTCAGAATCCCCATTTTCCCAGTTCTCCATCTGCTAACTGCCAGCTTTTATTTTGCACATCCTGGAGCAAGATTGAGCTGCTAAATGTCAACAGCATTCCCACTGAACATTCACTTCAAGCATAAACATGTACTGGTAGTAGTGAAGCTTTCTTGGGTTTTTTATAAATAAGAAACCAAATGTTCTGTTAAGCTCCTAATATTTTGACATGCACATTTTAAACAAAATGTAATAAAGGCCAATATTCAGCACTGCTACTTTAATGATGTCTCTGGAAAAATTGAGATCAACTACTGTCCTAGTTTATAGTTGGATGGAATCTATTGAAATGCAGACACGTCAAACTCACGACATCATGTGATGTCGCGCAACATATCAGGCCGGTTTTGCCATTGCCGGCAATGGGGTGGGCGCGGCTTCCAGATGACACGTCTGGCCCACGGGCCAGCAGTTTGACACCCCTGAAATAGAGGAACCCTGGAAATATATAATTAATCTGTGAGACAAGTTTAATAGGAAAAATGTTTTTCAGGATAAAAAAATTGTCAAGATTGGCAAAAACAGGGATTGTTCCTTTGCCTTCAGAAGTAGAAGGGGAAACAAGTTTGACATCAGCTAAGTGTGTCCTGTGTGGTAACAAGGTAGTCAGTAAGAAAGCAAAGGAACTTATAGAATCTATGATCTCCAGCAATAAATCATGGTCCTGAAATTAATAGATTTAACAAACATGTATATTTTATATCTCTTAAACTATAGATTCAGCACCTTGCAACTAGTAAATTGAGCTATTCTACTAACAGGTGTTTTTTTCCTTTTCTTTTCCTATTAAGGCCTTTTTCTCAGTAGTTACCTCTTTATAAAACTTGTAAAAAATAACAGCCATAATGCAACCACCCAGGTTTTCAAATAGTCATATCAAGAGCACCTTTGAGGGTTTTTTAAAATATGCAAAATTCCTAAATGGTGCTCAAAGTGATCTGGGAAGAGGGTAAAAGGGAGTTTTAGCATCTCTCTTTCTTCAGCATTTTCTATCATTAAAACAGTTTAAAAAAAAAAAAGCTAGCTGGTTAATGTCTTCCAAGCATGCTAATTTTAAATGTGCAGTGAGTTTATTTTATGTATAACACTAGTCAAACTTTTGATATCCCTTTGTCATCTGAAATGATATTCCTTGGCAGCAGTTTAATCATCTGGATTTTCTGCTTCTTTTTTCCATTGTGGAACACTGCTAGGTAGCTAATTGCTTGATTGGACTACAAGCTTGACCTTGTGTCCAAATCATAGCTTTGTATAACATCTAACAGTGTTGATTCAGTGTGTGTGTATGCCCCTCATATAATATAGTCAGTGCCAATATAAGCCTTGGTAAATTGCTATCATGTGTGCATTCACCTAATTATGTGTATTATCTCCAAAGCAGTTTTAATTTGGATAAATGTGATATACTGTCCTCAGAGCAAGGCTATTTTTAAGCTATTGTATGTATGCAAGACAATTTAGCAGGAAACTATGTTTCATCATTTGATGCATTCCCTTAAATAAGTGGTAGAAGTATTAGCCTTTGGGAAGTAAGAACACATCCATCCATCAGTATCTAGAACACGGGCGGGGAATTATGGCCCTTTTTTGACTTGTGGACTTCAACTCCCAGAATTCCTGAGCCAGCAGGAATTGTGGGAGTTGAAGTCCACAAGTCGTAAAAGGGCCATAGTTCCCCACCTCTGATCTAGAATGATCAATCAGTGCAAAAAATAAAAACCTGCATGGTTGCTGATACTGTCTTTTTTATTCTCAGATACAATAAAAAAGAGTAAATTGTTACTTTTAGATTGTGTTCCATACTAAACTCTCATCCATAAAGCTATAGTTTTGTATATTGCATGTACTAAAATGTGCTCAGTCATTAGGAAATATTTTCTTGAATACCATTTCCTTTCTTCTCAAGAGCAAGGGGAAACAGAGAAATGCTGTCATTACTGAGATACAGTACTGCCCCAAAGATTTTCTTCATTGGCTGATTATAGTAGCCTCTGAAATATTTATTCCCTCTGGTGCTTTCCCACAACTAATGACTTCTTCCCATTCACTGGATGTCTCAAGTCATTCTCTCTGCATTATTTTTGCCTCTCTTGTAGACTAATACCAGTGTGGCAACAATTCTTTGATTTGTAGTAAAAAGAAATAGTTTTGGTCAGAATATAATTTTTATTGAAGTGTGAATTATACATTAAGTACTCTATCAAAAGTTAATTAAATATCTTAATGTATAATATTCTTCTCTCAACTATTAGAGAAAAAAAATACTTTTTACAGCAATAATCTGAATTGAGAATTCAATCTGAGAGGAAAAGCTGGAAAGATGTCTTGTATTCTTGAAGGGTGAGAACTACTAAGGATAATTGGATAATTCCCCCTCCCCATTATATGCTATTCACAGATGACTAAATCATCAAAAGAATGATAATTTTCAGTTGAGTCATAAAATTGGAGGAGGATTAAGATTCATGAACTCCATTATTTCCCCAAGCTACTGCCATTTTCCCATTACTTTCCTGCTCTTCATTACCTCAATGAAGTATTTTCCAGGTGGAGTCTGCATAGAAAATAGCTGCAACCATTACATGAACTGAACAATAGAATTAGAGAAAGAGACAACCTATCAGCTCCAGTAGAATTAACCTCATAGCAAAATAGACAGTGCATATGTTTTAAAAAAAGTGTTGTTGACAGCTAGTTTATTAAAAGACATTTTAAATTTGAGGGAGGAAAGGGACAGGATATTAACCAATTACATATTTTGATTAAAATCTATAAAATTGTAGATTACATTAAAAGTTTAAATTGCTGCTAAAAGAAAAAAACCATCAGGATTTTCAATATTTACATTTTTCACCAGTTTTTAAAAGGTTAATTTACAGTCTATATAAAAAATTTCTTTAATACTAAATCTAAAACTTATATAAGATAACAAATTAAATTGGCTCTATTTATATTTAATTTTAAAAAACTGTAATTTCATTTCTGTCTATGAACTGAATCCAACAAACATCCTCACCATATGTTCTGTTGGTTTATAAAAAATATAGCCTTATTTCCAAGTCTACCAAATTAAACAAATTATAAACCAGAGATTGCTACAAGCCATGGATTGTTACAATCCATAGATTGGCCTTTCAACATGTTGGTTATGTACTTAACCAGTGAAGTTAGGTAACTGTATTACTTCCACCCCTGTATTGCTAGTATGGGAAAATGATAGGACAAGAAATGAAATTTACCAAATACTATAGGAGCATGACCTGATTTTACAAAGGAGAAGATACATAAATCTCTTATTGTATTTCTCTCCTCATTTAAATCAGCTCCAGAGATCTGCCATTGGTTACAGAAGGAGAAATGTAAAAGTCCTCTATTCTTTCTATTTTCCTTTGCCAAACCTAATTACATGGTTGGTATACAGCATATTGTCATGCCTTTTTAAAATAAAAATTATTTTTGATTAAAAAAATCAATAATAGGCTTTCAGTGTAACATGTGGGTTATTCCTAACTGTATTCAATTAATGAAATATGTTTCTATTGTTTAGGTCTAAAAGTCAGTATCCCAAAGTATTCCTTTCTTTACCTTTATATATATCTAGAGATTTCCTTAAGGATATTCTGAAAGTTATATTGTTACAATGTCTAATATTAATTTCTGCAAATATGTATTTCTAGGAGTTAGTGATACTGTGTATACATGTTGCTTTTAAATATTTATATTTTGCATCTTTGCAGAACCCAGGTAGCACTTCATAGTCAACAGCAGATCCATATTTCATATTTAAGTTTTATGACAGCTGACATTGATCATCTTCCTAAATATCATTTTCAGATTTCAAGATTAGAAAGATGAACATATTGTGAATTCATCACACAATACTGCACTGTAGAATAGGATAAACCAAATTTGTGTATAGGAAGGATCAATGTTTGAAATGCTCTTATTGATCTCCTAAAGCAGGCATGTCAAACTGCCGGCCCACGAGCCGGATGCGTCACGATGAAACCGCACCCACCCCATTGCTGGCAATGGGGAAAAAGTTGCGATACATCACGCGACATCACGTGACGTCGCGAGTTTGACATGCCTGTCCTAAAGAGATAGTTCAGCACACTATTCATACTTCTCACTTAATATGTTTTATCAGCACCTATTATTGCACTAGATATTTTTAGGAGAAATAGCTCATCAAAATATCCAAGCAGAATTTTCCATAAAAAGAGAAATCTACATTCTTTATGATCCTTATACCATATCTATGATCATTAAAACAATACAAAGAGTCAGAGTCACAGAAACAAAGTAATGTTAAACACTGGGTTATTTTTTTTCATAAGATGGATAACTTGTACTGGTAGTTGATCATCATTCTATATCAAGTATGTACATGCTCCCAGTTCACCCAGGCATGAAAACTCATAGGTTTAATAGAAAAATCTGGTTTTCTCCTCCTCTCCTCCTCGGATTTGTATAAGTAAATGGAGGGAGCAAACAAAATTCTATTAAGCCTATGAACTTTTTCTATGTTGTCCTTGTACCCATAATAAGATTGGATCATGTCCTTAACCTTATTCATTAGCATTATTTCTATATTTATCGATGGAAATTTGTCATGATTCTGGTGTGGCTGTTAAAATATAATTGTAGCAAAAGTGAAAAGCTATTTTTGATCCAGGATTGCAGTATCTCTTGGTACTGCTGATTCAAGCACGAAGCAGGTAAAATACTCCATTAAAATACTAACTGATCTAAAATACTTCAGATCAAAATAGCACCAGAGATGAAAATAAGCTGCCATTTGCTCAT